AGATTGCACAAAGAAACACATACACAATCAGATATGCTAACTCACATTCACATTAACAAGCATTCACAAACAAACCTTTGCTGTTTTATCACAAGCTCCAGAAACAAAAGTCTTCATGTCACTTGAAAGTGCTAAACTCATGACATCTCCACAGTGCCCTGAGAATGAGGTCGTCTGCTGTTTTGTCTCAATATCCCACAGAGCACTGAATGTTTCACATTTTTAATGCAACTAGATACAATTCAATGAGTTGAATATTAAGCATATACATTCCTACAATGAGAGACAACCCAATAAAGAATAAAACTACAAACCAAGTGGTGTCACCGGATGCAGTGACAATTTGATGATCATCGACGAATCGACAGCACGAAAGATATCCATTGTGTCCAACCAACTCAGCGACAGCTTTCACACTCCCCTCCCTCGATTTCAAGCTGTACACCGTGCAGACGTTGTCCAGTCCACCACAGGCCACAAAGTTTCCCGAAGGTGCAAACGAACAGGTCATGACCCAACTGGACCGAAGTGGGATTGCATGGACCTGTCGGTGGTGTCGTCTGCTTCATTAGTTCGTTCACATCAATTACACAAACTACAACATGTTCAACAGTACAATTAAACTATGTACCTATAAGAGGAAATTATTTACAGCGATTAATACATAATCAACAGAATCAAACAAAAAGCACAGAGACAAATGTCGTTCATTTGATATCATTTTAAAGAAACAACCTTGTTTGAAGTATAAGCGTCCCATACTATCAACTTTCCATCTTGAGATGCAGAAACAAGGTTCCTAAATTAAATTTTAATAAATAATAAAAAAATGTTGTTATCAATTTAATAAAAACTCTTTGGCTAAAAAAAAACCATTAACAACCTTAAAAAATGAGCCAAGTCTCTAAAAAAAAAGAGAAGTTAAAGATCTAATGCAAGAAAGTAAAGAAACTAATAATTAAAAATGAATAACATGAGTGGAATATGACCTTGAATCGCTCCCCCAGTGCATAGCATAAATTTTTGCAAGATGCCCTCTGAGAGTTCTTCTCGATCTCAACTGAATCTTGCCCACTGGTTCTACCTTCGATGCAAGTTCAGGTAAAGATGCATCTGCAACTGCCTTTTGTGCTTCCTAGCATGTAAATTGTAAAATAATAATTTTTAGAATTTTTAGCTTAAAATTCATTTAACCAACTAATTCAGTATTTTTTTCCTTGCCTTGAAGATTTTAAAAAATCATTCAATTTCATTCGTCTATCTATAATAACTGATGATTAACATCTACAATTAAAATTAAGTGAGCAAACTTTTACTAACAAAAACAACATATCACATCACAGATGAGAACATTAAAAGAAGAAAACTTTAAGATTAACGATAATAAAAATAAATAATAATAAATAAAAAAATTTAAGCTAATAATCCTATTTTAAGTTTTAATAAATATTAAATTAAAACATAAAAATAAATTAAATTTTAAAATGTCAAAAATGCAATTAACAGAGCAACATTATGATTGATCTTTTAATAATCATTATTGTTATAATTATTGTAAAATTATTAATTTAATAATTTAATTCATAATTAATTATGAACCATAATTTTTTCTTTCAGGGACTCCGCCTCCTTCTTCAGCTGCTCCATTTCAAAATTTTTCATTTCAGTACTAGCAGACATTTTCTTGCAATAAAGATACGAGAAGAATGAAAGTTAAATAGAAAACGAACGGATTTGAAATAACAAAATTGTTTCGTTCGAATATTTTCAAGATTTGAAAAACAATCTTTAAAATATTTCACGATTAAAATTAAAGCTCTCAGCAGGATATTACAGACTTTCAAATTAGTACGATGTAACAACCATGCGAAAACACAAGAATAGTCAGCCAAATACACTTTATAAGATTATAGAACAAACAAATCAAAAGACTATCAAATTGCCCGATTATAAGACAAATCGTTGGTTGTTCGTACACATATACATTAATTACATATATTATTTTATTAATTACCAGAAACCCCGTAACTACTTGCTAAACAGCACCGATCCCCTTCGCCAAGGCGACATAAGGTGAGAAACTATTCCAACTCAAAGAAAAATAATTTTAATTACAACCAAGTAAAAAAACTGAACAGCCAATCAGTTTTATCTGACGCAAGAGAGATGAAAACGTTTTATGCGCAGCGTCAAACATTTGATATCCACTCTTTCACCGACTCAACGTCACTGCTGTCTTCATTAATTCTTTTACAACTTATTTCAATAAACTGTGTTTCATTTTTTTTCAGATCAGAAAATGAAAAATCTTTTCTTGGATTGCCAAGACAATTGGACGTCGAAGATTTTCCGTCTACTCCATCTAGGGCTGCTGACTTTGTATGCCTCAATTGGTTCCTGATCAATAAAAACGCGTTACTGGTATCAGTAAAAATAATCATTCAAAAGCATATACACATATAAAACAAAACGTTGTTAAACTATATCAATTAAAATGAAA